GGGGGGTTAGTTTTTTGAGTTCCAAGTATATTTTAGATATGAGACCCTTGTCCGTTGTATGGCTAGTAAAGATCTTCTCCCAATTCGTGGGCTTTCTATTGATCTTGCTAGCTATGTGTGACATCTTCTTACCTATTTACAATATATTTCAATTAATCTCACCCACTCTATCCCTCTGTCTTCATGTGTTTCTTTTTATTGTGATAAAATATGCACAATGTACCATCTTAGTCATTTTAGAATATACTGTTTGTTGACATTTAATTCATTCACACTATTGTAGTTATTGCCACATCCACCTCCTGAACTTTTTCATCATCCCATGGTGCGTGAATTTCTTCAGCGTCATTTTTTTTAAAATGTAAGCTTTGACTTTTATTTTGCAGATCAAAGGATCTTGGACAGGGAAGAATCGTGTCCAGAATCCCTACAGTCATGGCAACATTGTAAAGAACTGCTGTGAAGTTCTGTGTGGTCCCTTGCCCCCCAGGTACTTAAGGGTCTAAAAAGTCCTGGGATTCTTGGCACAAACCATTCAATCCCATCCTGTTACCTGGTCTGAGGCATTTCTGAGCGGGGCTTCATGTTGTCAAATAGATTTCCTAGGGATTGTTACATGGTACCATTGTCTACATGGAATCATAGGCCATGGGCTGGTTATTTTGAAGGGATGGTCTTTCATTCTTATTTCATTTGTTTGTTCTTTAGTTAATGTGACAGTCACTGGTTTGTAGAACAAAAAAATGAATGGAAGATAGGAGATGTGTGCTAAGAAGATTTACCAAATATATATTTAGATTTTTCAATATACACAGCATGGTTGTGTATGGGAAGAAGAGTGAAAGCCAGTGGCAAATCCCTGATTAACTCTCTTGTCTTCTTCAGTGTGCTGGATCGGAGGGGTATTTTACCATTGGAGGACAGTGGAAGTCGACCTCCTAGTACTCAAGAGACCAGCAGCAGCCTTTTGCCACAGAGCCCAGTAAGTGTTCCTGATTTATGACTGAATTAATGATAACATATAGATTACAATTACTTCTTAGAAATAGAATTAGACAGCTTTGTATCCTAATTTCTCCAGCTTCCTTGGCTTTGCGTGTCCCCTGACATTGCCTTTAGTGCTTTGTGTCCTTGAAATAGATTAATACTTACTCATTTTTGACATATATTGAGCCAGTCCTTTCCCTCTTCCTTTCCCCCTCCCCTTCCCCTTCCCTCCTCTCTCCCTCCCTCTCAATTTTCAGGAATATTGTGGACAGTTTTAAAGAAATAACTCAAATAAGCTTCAGGTGTATTTTGCTGAGAAGATGATATCTTGGTCTTTGGTCTGAGTTTGGCAACAATAGCTGCACATCTTTAGTATCACTCTCTTCAAAGGCTTCAGAGGAAGACTTGAGTGTCTGTGACTTCTGCACTGGATTTTGGAACAGAGCTTGTGTTGAACATCTTATCTTTTTCCTTCTCAGGCCTCAACAGATCACATGAACTCCAATGAGATGCCAGAGGACACCAGCACTCCGGAAGAGATGCCACCTCCAGAGCCCCCAGAGCCACCACAGGAGGCAACTGAAGCTGAGAAGTAGTCTATCTATGGAAGAGACTTTTGTTTGTGTTTAATTAGGGCTATGAGAGAGTTCAGGGGAGAAGATAAATCTGAGACAGAACAAATAAGCTTTTACTGTTTTTCTTTGGTCTTTAATCACCCAATTGCACACTGGCATTTTCTTGCTGCAAGCTTTTGAAATTTCTGGACTCAAGGCAGTGGCAGAAGATGTCAGTCACCTCTGACAACTGTACAAATGGGTCTCTGAGGCCCTGGCACTGGTTTTCCATGGCCTTGGTCATGGCACCTCCCTGAATTCCCCTTTCCTCCCTTCAGATCTCAGCTTTCCTGCTTGGGGGTCATTGGTCTCATTCTGGGGCTAAAGATTCTTGAGACTGCCTCAAATCCTTTTAAGCTGGTGCATGTCCTGAGTCCAGAGGCAGTCTCAGAGACCTCCGGCCAGGGAATCCTAATTGGGTTCTTGTTCCTTTAGCATTGATGATGGTTGAAGTATGAGGTTGGAGGATTCTTCTGGCCACAAATGCAAGCATTGCCAGCCAGTCCTTTTAGGAATAGAGCAGGTACCTTCTACTTATATTTATTCGTGTAGCTTCTTTCTCCTCATCAACTTTCTAACATCCAATCCTCACTCTTCCCCACTAGATATATGTAAGTAGTTGTAGTACAGATAACAGTATTTACATTTCTTGTAGATTCTCCAGAAACTTCAATACCTGTGCTATTCTCAATAAGAATTGATACGATGCCAACAGCATAGCCCCTCATACTCTGTCTCATCTCTCTTCCTTTCTCATTAGCCCACTTTACTTTTATTCCTTTGACTCTTGCTCCCATTAGGAGCTGGAATGGCAGTAATAAAAGTCTGAGCTTTGGTATTCCTTTTCCTCAGAGGAAGCTCAAGTGCTCACTTAAACACTACCCCCTCAGATTCCTTGTGTGAGGCCTGCAATGGTCCTAAATGCACAAATGGGGAAACCAAGGCACAGAGAGGCTCTCCTCTCCTCTCCCTCTATGTCCCCTGAAAAAAAAAAGGTTAACCAGTACTTCCATTAAGCCTCGGCTGAGTGAGGGAAAGCCCAGCACTGCTGCCCTCCCGGGTAATCCACTCCAAGGCCTCAGCCCACCTCGGGCAATGGTAACCACACTAGGGGCTTCCTCCAAGCCCCACTCTTCCAGCACTTCCACCGGCAGAGTCCTAGAGCCACTTCACCCTGGGGGTATGCTGTGGCCCCCCCCGGTCAGCTCTGCTCAGGACCTGCACTATTTCAGGGAAGAAGATTTATGTATTATATGTGGCTATATTTCCTAGAGTACCTGTGTTTTTCTCTTTCTAAGCCAGGGTCCTGTCTGGATGATTTACGGGGGTTGGGGGTGGGGCGCGGGTGTAAACCAGAACTTTTAATCTATTTGAAGGTGATTAAACTGTGTCTAATGCAAATTGCCTGCCTCCTCCTTCCCCTTCCATTTCAAGAACCACCACGGGGTTGTGAATGTGTTTGTGTGTTGGGTGGGGGGCGGGGGTTGGAAGGGGTTGCTTGTTACTATCCATACTTTCATTTTCCAGGGTACCTTTGGGTTAGAGAGATAGCTCTCAAACTTTCCATTGATCTGTAACATATTCTGGGCCGAAGTTTATCTTATTCTTGACTATGAAGAAAGAACTTTGAAGCAATATACAGTGTGAACAAGATCAGGTGGTAGAGAGATTATAATTGTTTAGGAAAAGTTCTTAGGTTGATGGACACTGTTAATTGCAAATAAAACTTGATTATTAAAAAAGGCTCACTAGGTCCTCACCTTGGAAATACTTCATTAGTGATCTTTACAAGTGATAGTATATATTTCTTTTCAAATGGTCTGTTATCAAGACTCCTTACCAACTTCTATCTTACTCTTCCCAGTTAATTGGAATTGGTGAAATTTGGCTGCTCCCAAATTTTCTCTTGTGTCTTCCGGTTTTCTTTGTAGTAGAATTTGAGTTTAGCATGAGGGGGGAAGGGGGAGGGAGGGAGGAAGAGAGGGAAGAAAGGAGAAAGAGAGAGAGAAAGAGAGAGGGGGGAGGGAGTATTGGAAGAGAAACTGGGAGTTTGACTCAGATTCATCTACTGTCTGCTTCTCTTTCTCATTCTATTTCTGCCTCTGTCACTTTTGTTCTCTGAGTTATATTTTAGCTCATAATAAGACCAAGCCTGGAGACTGTGGAAGTTACTTGCTTTTTCAGTCAACCTGTCACTCATGTTGAACCCCTTTCGAGTTGCCAGTCCATTCTGTCTGAGTCCATTTCTCCTGGGCCAGGATGGCATTCTCTCCTCCCTCTATTTACCTCAGCTACTCATTTGCTGTCCTTTAGACTAGTCAAAAGAGCTTTCTCTTTCTGATGGGAAGGATCAAAATAGAAATCTCTTATTTCTAATGCAAAATGATATTGTTAAATTTCTGCTTTATTCTTTGCTCTCTTTTACTTCATAATTCTTGGTATTTCAAGACCTTGGCCTTAAGATCTGCCCCATTCATCCCATATACCCTAGTCTGAGCTCTAATCAGAGGAGAGGTTGAAGGAATGATCTTTCCCCAGGGAAAAAGGTCATATATTGTTTGATCTTTTCAATGGCTGCCACTCTCTCCAACTCTCCCCTTCCTCCCCATTCCTCATGTTTCCTATGTACCCACCCCACTTCCCCAGGCCAGGATAGTTGGCCCAGATCCAAGACCTCTGGGAGTGGTTGGAATTTATGTTCTTTTGACTCTGGGGTCCTCCTGGCCCTAGCTAAGGTCATCATCTCCCCCTTTGCATTTTCCCCAGGAGCGGGGTGGGGTTAGATGTGGATTCTATTTCTATAGCAGCTAAATTTCATTTTTCTGTTCTGACCATCCTGCCTTTACCCCTAAGACCCCTTTTCCTACTGACCAAATCTCTTTACCTTGTTGGGAAAAAGTATTTTGTTTTTAAATCTATTTTCTGACTTAATGCAATTTAATATGTAAATCTCTGCACTTTTGTGTGAGCCTACAAATGTGTATGTGTTGGAGTTTTTTCACTCTCTGGTATTTCTTAATAAAGAAAACTTTCTTTCGGGGGGAAGCCAATTAATTAAGGAGACTTGAATGGTTCTAGAAATACAGGGCTGTCTGTTTCTTTGTGCTTCTGCCTCATTTCTTGTGCCTAGTGTGAATGGTTGGGCCCCTCCTCTACCTTTTGATCCCCTTCATTTGAGAGAGCTCAGTGTAGTGGGCCAGAGAAGAGGGACCTGTCTTCTATCTGGTTCTACTCTGGAACCATTTGGATTGGCTCAAGTGGTGACCTGGCATTTTGCTCCCATGGCCAGCCTGACCCTGTTCTTCTATCTCAGGTCATTTCCTGCTCCTGAAGGGGAAGCCAAGTTAAGGAAAGTCACCAAGGGATCAGTATATTTTTAAAAATAATTTATTTTCATTTAATGCTACTAAAGAAGAGCCATGATTCCAATAATGCAAAAAGCATTTGCATCACTTTTGAGAATACATTCTAGGAATCTCTTGTAGCTTTTAGGTGATAGATTTTAGCAATAGCTTCAAGGACTCGAGCTCTGACTATCTTCAGTTTTAAAGGATGCAAGCCCAACTCACACACACAAAATGGTGAATTTCATGTTTTGGATAAATATGAAAGAATGGGAAGCATAAATCTGTATCTGTAAAATTTTCAGATGTCCTATACAACAAGAATATAGGTGAAAAAATTGGTAAAATTTAGCCTGGCCTAGATTTTCATAAACACAATGATCTTATAATATTACTGTATACTGGGTTTTGAGGAATGCAACAGCTGTGTAAATTGGGGAATTCACTGAATTCTTCATAACTTTGGAAAATCATGCCACTTGCCAGCATTCATGGATATATAAGTTGCCAATACAACCTGCCTATGTAAGTCTGTTTTTAGAGATTGCATCTAGTCTGTTTTTAGTGATTGCATCTAACTGATTCTATAGATAGGTGGAAGCCTGCCATACTTTATTATAGGTTTTATTATATTTCCTAGGTATTTGTATATTGAAATACATGTTATCTTAAATAATTTTCTTTTTGTTTTCCCCTATGGTACAATTAGTATAATTGGCCCTCCACATCTGTAGGTTCTATATCCATAGATTTAACTTGCCTTAGTGTGGAAGATTTTTTTTGTTGGCCCTGGAACAAATTCAAGGCTTGGATGCTGTCCCTGAGCTTCTTTTTGTTCAAGGCTAGCATTCTACCACTTCAACTACAGCTCCATATCCAAGGAAATATTTTTCTTAATCACATGTATAAGTTCAGCACTGGTGGCTCACACCTGTAATCCTAACTACTGAGATCTGAGGATTGCAGTTCAAAGCCAGCCTGGGCAGAAAAGTCCCTGTGAGATTCTTATTTCCAATAAACCACTCAAAAACCAGAAGTATACTGTGTTTCAAGTGGTAGAGCTCTAGCCTTGACCACAAAGAGGCTCAGGGACAGCACCCAGACCCTGAGTTCAAGCCCCACAACCAACCAAAGAAAATTTCAAGTATAGGTGTTCATTGGTAGCTACTCAGCAGAGTGAGATTTGAGGATCTGTTTGAAGCCAAACTGGGCAGGAAAGTTCCAAAGATTCTTATCTCCAATTAACCACCAAAAAGCTAAAAGAAGAGCTATGGCTCAAGTGGTAGCCTTGAGTGATAAAGCTAAGAGAGAGCTTGAGGCCCTGAGTACAAGACCCAATATTGGCACCCTAAAATTTTCATCTGTACTAAATATATACATTTTTTTCATCATTTTTAAACCATACAGTGTATAAACCATTCACATAGGATTTACATTGAATTATATATTATAATTATTGGAGAAATGATTTAAACTACATAAGAGGGTATGCATATTACTCCATGCAAATACTGTATCATTTTACATAAAGAACTTGATATCAGCAGATGTCAGTATTCTTGAAAAGGATTGGGGAACAGTGGAACCAATCCCCCATGGATAATGCAAGATGATTGTATATCATTGCTGTTCTTGAAAGTATAAGTAGATTTAATTCTGAAGTTCATTTCAGGGTGGCAAATGGTGCATAAGAAAATATTATGTAGCAAGGGAACATTGGGATTGCTAGAGTTGAGAACCACTGGACCAAATTACCTCAGAGGTTATTTTTTATTTTGAAGTATCTGAAAAGCTTAGAGGGAAAAAAAGAATATTTCTCTCTCCATTTACATCTTTGGTGTGCTTTAAATTAAGAACAAACCAAGACATATACTGGTGCTGATGGTTCACACCTGTAATCCTAGCTACTCAAGAAGCTGAGATCTGAGGATTGCAGTTTGAAGCCAGCCCAGGCAAGAAAGTCCATGAGACTCTCATCTCCAATAAACTACCCAGGAAAAGCCTGAAGTAGTGCTGTGGCTCAAATGGCAGAGCACTAGCTTTAAGCAAAGGAAGCTCAGGGACAGTTACCCAGGCCCAGACTTCAAGCCTCATAACCGGCAAAAAACAAAAACATAACTTACTGCTGAGTGTCTGTGGCTCATATCCATAATCCTAGCTACTCAGGAGGCTGATATCTAAGGATCAAAGTTGGAAGTAAGCCTGGGCAGAAAAGTCCATTTCCAGTTAACCAGCAAAAAGCCAGGCTGGAGTTGTGGCTCAAGTGGTAGAGTGACAACTATGACCAAGGAAACTGAACAAGTGCAAGCCAGGAGTTGAAGTTCTGTTATCAGCAAAAAAAGAGACCTAAAACCAAATCCCAAATATATTTCATTGTTAAAAACTATTAAAGTATAGGAAAGTAAGGGGATTAAAAACCATCACCCATAATATTATCACCAAGACATAATAACTAGTTTGTTTCCATATCTTGGAGTTCCTATATATGATATCATTTATCATATATATGCACATAAGCATTGCTGCTTTGTCTTTCCTCAGTTATTCTTGTTTTCTACACATGTATATGTTTAAACATAGCAAGAATTCAATTACAAGTATAGTTTTTAAAATCTCATTTTAACAGCATTTTCCATATCATCAGAAACTATTTGAAAATACTTAATGATTCTATAACATGAACAAAACCCCTTCCCCCTAGAGTCAGACATTTAGAAGTTTCCAGTTTTTATTATAAATAGTGTTGTGGTAAACTTCCTTATATATGAGCATATCTTGTGATTACATCTTTAGAATGTATTCCTAGAAATGGAAGTGAGTCAAAGGGAATGCTTTTTTAAAGACTCTTGATGGGCTGGGAATGTGGCTTAGTGGTAAAGTGCTTGCCTAGCGTGTATGAAGCCCTGGGTTTGATTTCTCAGTACCACCACATAAACAGAAAAAGCTGGAAGTAGTGCTGTGGCTCAAGTTGTAGAATGCTAGCCTTGAGCAAAAGTAGTTCAGGGACTGTGCCAAAGCCCTAAGTTCAAGCCCCAGGACTGGCAATAAATAAATAAACAAATAAAAAAGACTCTTGATAAGGCCAATTGCCTTACAGAAAACCTGTTCAGCTTGTTCTGCTGCAGTTTATCAGAAAGCCTGTCTCAATCCATCTTATTTAAGCATTGATACAGTAATTTAATAGTTGTAAACTTGTAGTTCAGTGTAGTGTAGTCTTTTTCGTTGTTGAGCTTGCACATTCTGCCTCTTCTCTGTCACACACACACACACACACACACACACACACACACACATTGTCATTCGTATTTCTTTAGACTATCTGTCCAAGTCCTTTATCTGTTTTTCTTTTAATATTAAATGTTTTTTTAAACTAATTAATGCATGAGAACATAGAATTCACACTTTACCATGGACATGGGAGCACCCTTGATTTAGAAGTCATTTTAGAATTCTGGATTGTTGAGTAGAATTACCTTCTTGACATCCATGCCCCCTTTGCTTTCTTTAAGCCCCTTTTCCCACCACCATCTTTGCTGCCAGTTATTGCCCATCTATTTGGCTACATATCAACAGCTATTTGGCTTTACCGACTTGGTATTTTGTGCCCA